GTTGAATTCTTGTATCTCAAACTTCTGAAAATCCGGTTCATATTGCTGCCACTCGATCTCGCTACCAATCGTTTTAATGTATTTTCTATGGCGTCAACTATTTGATATCATGTACCCTTCGTATATGATCGTGATGTTTATTTTATTTAGCACTATCGTGGATGCCCCATCACCCTCCAATTTGGCGTTGTTCCGATGGCGATAATCTACCTTCCCTACCAGATGAAATCATCGCCCACATTATCTCAACCATTTCTCCAACGGAGGTATGCAACAGTTTGTAATGATGTTTTGTATATAGCATAATGCCACCTTGTTGACACATATAAGAACATCTGCTAGTGATAGTGAGCAAAGTTCGCACAAAGCTGGAAACGGGTTCAGGTCGAGGAACCGGTTCACGCTTGCCCTTGGCCAAGATTTTTTCTATCGAAATTGATTTTCGTGATGTATGAGAGAGAGAATGAGGACGTATGATCACATGACGATGACGATATGCTGTAGACGATTTTCGATCACGCGCACGAATATTAGGTCATTAAAAGGCCGATGGTACGTAACAGCTGAAACAACTAGCCCACTAACCGGATCGATTCTGCTTTTAAATGTCATGGTGTCTGCGTGAGTGATTTTTGCATAGTGCCCCTCCTGCTAACTTGAAAACATCATTTATCAAGGTGTACTTGTGGCATACTATATAACAACACCAAGACACCTAGTGTTTTTGATTCGTTTGTGGGTTGGGTAGCTCCGTTCTTTCTCGTGCTTTTACGATTTGTCAGCTAAATTTACTTCCTCAATGTGGTATTTGTTCTTTAGTTTGGAAGATTTTCCTTCGGTTTGTAATGTTTCTAAAGGCAGATAATGCTCAACGCTTTGCAAATGCATGCTTTAATAGAATAAAGCTGATTGCCCGCATTACGAATACCGTATTGTACAGGCGGGAAGCACGTGCAACCAGCAACAGTAGTCGCTGTCCCACCGTAGGAAAATTCGTGAAAAGAGCTCTTTCAGGGTTAGGCGTTGTTTATGGTCCAGTCATTGTCCATCCAAAATCTCACCAATAAAATGGTCTTGATGTGATGCACTTATCACCTTTCACTGCGTCAGATTGCATCATTCCAATTTTTATAATCATTGTGATGAAAAAACAGATTATAAGTGCAGTGTTTAACGGAGTGAAGGTAAACGGTGAATTATTTAGGGGTCGGAATTCAGACGTCTCTTCTAAGACGATAAATGTTTTAGCATTGTTTTTCTAAGAATATGGTTAATCGAATTAACTTGTTGGACGGCTCGTCTATCAAAACAAATTTATCGTTTTCCTGGACATTGTCAGTTCTGTGGAAGGATGAGTGCAGGGTCAGTTGTTCAGCGTCTATGTAGATATCTGTATTTATGGATACCACAATAGTCGTCCAACATTAATTCCATCTTCATCGTTTTAAGGAATTGAAAATGTTCCAAAAACGTTAAATTTGTCTTATCAGGCGAATATTTTATCTTGCTCCATCTCCGAAACAAGCTAATCATAAAGGGTTGCTCACTAATCCCGGAAATGATTGTCTGACTTTTTACTCGTGGATCTATTTACCTATCCCTTTGCAAGGCTTGCGGGACTGACTGCACAAAAGTCGGTTCCGAAGCACCTTTGGAAATCATTCACGAACCTCCTAAGTTNTCACTGTCACAGGATAACATATGAGAACTCCTAGCGATAATGAGAATAGCGCCCAGTTTATGGTCAATGTGGACTGGATTGAGAGCTCTCTTTTTTAGGAGAACTCAAATCCGAGCTGTTATTTGCACACCATTCCCTGATGTCGTTCTTTTTGAAACTATCATTAGCTGCGATTTGAAAGTTGGGCAAGGTAAATGTTCAATTTATGAGACGAGTGAAACCCCACATAGAAACATTCTGATCTTCACAGCTGATTCACGTGCGATAAAATGTGTCACCTCGTTATCTTTAAGAGCTCATTCTTCATTTTGATTGCAAACAAGCAAAAAAGCGTGTGAGCAACCCTGTGAGAAATGGTAGTCACAGGCGATGGGGACCACAATTTCACATGTTTTTCACTCCCGTTTGCAACTGCTCGACACGCAGTACATGGTCATCATTCAAACCTTATCAATTCCCACGAACAAACGCAATAACTGATTGCTAGCATTACAAAAATGTACAGTGGTCAACACTACGACTGTTATGACTGTACGGTAATAGAGAAATCCTTGATCTCAAGGACACCGACTTCTTACGTCTGGCAACATTATTAGCATTCAAACAACTCATGTGAAAAAAGTTAGTCGACATCTGTTCGAAACCATTTTCTTGGAGAACTCAGCTTCTAAGAGGGCGATCTTAGCCAGCGGTCGCCATCCCTTCCTTCAATGAGTTCCCTCCTACATATTACTCAAAGCAGGGTTCTCATAGGAAAATATCACCCTCAAATCCTTTGGTTATTTTTGTAGAAATACCGCCCAATGAGGCCAATCGGTGCCCTGTTAGAAAATGCCGGCCAATTTGACGTTCGCCGCTTTGGCCCGAATTTCTTCCAATTTGATTTCCAGATTGCTTCCACCTAATGCGCTATCAACATGCGTTCAGAGGTTATTCAGTAACCTCTTCCAAGTCTCTGGAATATGGATCTGGTTGGGTTTAAATAAAAACTAGCTGTTATCAATTTGATATAACACCACGTCGGCGACACAGTGAGTACTGTATTCGCAAACAGGGCACTTAACCCACCAACAAGACAATTTATTTAGGGATCCAGCAAATTTTCTCGAAACTGTTGTCACCTAAAGTTTTTGTCGAATGACGCTAATTCGCTTTGGCGCCGAAGATAAATGTCACGTTCGTTAGCATGGCACCGAATTACTCCAAGAGGCGAACTTTCAGCAACGTTGTTTTTCTTGCGACTGCGAGGAGGGGCTTAATTGGCGTCCGTTCTTTGGGTTCTGTTTTTTCGAGTGCCTTCGAAGCACACGTGTCTTTGAATGAACGAGTTTCTTGAGCCTATGAGTTTCAAGCTTCTAAAGGACTCTTTCAATGTTGAGAAGTGTTGCGTAAACAGTTGTCATTATGACACGAAAGCTTCAAAACTGGTAGCATTCGCGGGTATGGTAACTTCTTCCCGAAAATCGCGTCGCGCTAGCCGCGAAGAATACGGTAGCCACCGCGAACCACTGCCGCTTGTCGTGCGTATTCGGGGGAAGTGCCGCCACCTGTATGCCGTTTCGGGGTCAATCTTCAAATCACGTAGACGCGATAAAGTGTTAGACACATGGTCAATTGTCTTTTACATCGACTTCCCAATCAATGCGAATCAATTTGTGCCATCATTACATGGGAAACATTGTTTACCTCCTAACAAATCAATCAAAATTGTTTTGTATTGCCAAGGACGGCGTAACTTAGTAATCGAATAAGGAGGCAACTATCACCTCCACAACCCGCAGGACGATAGCTCGCGATGTCGTAACACGTAAACTGCATTGATCACAGTAGTACAGCGACCCAATCAATACGTTCAACCCGAGGATCCTTGTTTAATCAATACGTTTAGCCGTGCGTGCTTTGTTCAGTAAATACGTTCGGTCGGAGGTTTTTTGGTGTTTTCCTCCAAATCTAAAATGCTCAGTGAGTGTTGGGATTAATGGATAAAAAGAGTATTTCAAACTAACGATTGCAAATGCCTGAGAATCATTGCTTAGCTCTAGTGATTTGCTGAGATCTGTTATTGGTATTCTTTGTTGTATTATTGCATTTTTCTCGATGATTCTTAAATTCAATGAGCGCATTCATACTACAAGCGTGCTTAAGTCGGCGTCAGTCGTTGTTCGATAACGAAAAATAATGCTCACATGAGAGACACACAGACGACTAAACAGACTGACGCACAAGTGCAGGAATTATTTTCCTTCTTGCTGCTGGCTAGATTCTCAGGGAAAGGTAAACCCTTTCACTCATGTCTGAAGGGGAACTGAAATCGACAGGCCCAGACTTCTCTACAGAGCTTCTTTTTTACCCATTCGCTAGACCGATTTGTAGCATGAGTCTTTGTGTAGGAAGTATTGATCGGTGTCTGACGCCGGCGTCAACGTCTGACTATGAATGTGCACAGTAACAAACACTGAGCATTACAAGGAGGGGAGGGACAGGTCTAGAATAAAGTGGAATGGAGCCATACTCAGTATTCGGGAAGTGATCGTGAAACTTAGCTTGAAAAGTTGCAGATGAATGTTGCGTTGAAGATTCGACTATAATGTATCCGAGTACGTTAATTTTAGATCATAACTTCACAATGGTTTGGAATCAATAGTGGATTCGACTATGTTGTCAATGAACACATCAAGAAATGTAAATATTTAAATGCGTGCGAGGACTTTATTTGGCGATATCTTCAATCGGAATTACTCCAAGGTACTGTTATATCTTTTTGCTCTCCAACTTCTCCAAAGAATGGGCTCGCCCCTCTAGGGTGGAATTAGGAGATTGTTCCTTATGCTACTATAGATCGTAGTTGAAACTGTCCCCACAATACGGTAAATGCTGAAGGGCCGCCGGTCCTAGGACGACCCTCGCAACGTTATCATCTCGCCTCTTCTAGGAAAGGACCGTTAAGGGAGAGTACGCACTACTCCCATAAACGTCTCTGTAGAGAGAGGATTAGATTTGTTTGTCAACTATCCTCTGCATCTTCAGGCTTTGAAGGTTCCGCTTTACTACCGTTTCAATAACTTCGGGTTTAGATCTCACTGACACTTCTTTGCGAAAAGAGCTTCGTTGCGTTTCGTTACTTTGATGTCTGGCTGTAGAATTTCTTTTGATTGAGTGAACGTTATGGAAATATTGTGTCTTCAGGTAATCGAATATGGCCGTCACACAGAAATCTTCTTATTCTACTGATGAAGAAGTGCTTTGTTTACCTGCACGAACTGATAGTCCCAATCGCCATGTTTACTGAAAGTACGTCAAACTCTATTTGTTGCGGTAGTGTACCAGCGAGCTTAGCGATGAAACTTCTCAATTAGAGAGTCACTTTGGATTCTTACTGCTTACAGTCCACTCAATTCTGGAAAGCACATATACGAGTGATCCTACTACAGCGGCAATGCCACAGTTGGAGAGAATAACAGTTCATATAGGAGAAGAGTGGGGAAAGTTGCTAATCTCACACACCTATGACAACTTGAAACTCAGGTATGATTTTTGGAATTATCGTAAGAAGAGTTCCATGCTTTCTTCATATGGACTGACGCTCGTTAGCACCTCTTATTTCGCCTCCTTGTATAGTTTGGATACCTGTCCCTTTTTGGTATGGTCGTCGTGTGTGAGAACCGCCTATTGAGCTACCATTTGCCTGCGTATTCGGTCTTGCAATTAGACGTTGATTCAGCGCAGCCTGGCTTTAGAAGAACACATATTTCCCGATCAAAAAAAGTCCATTTGATGTTGATTGTTCCAGGCCGCTTTGTGCTTACTTATCGGAAGTGAATCTTGATGTAAAACTTTCCGACGTCGAGGTGGTAACATGTTCTGGTTTTCGGTCACTAGTACGGTATTTTTTGGAAATGACTGACTCTAACAGTAAGTATATCCTCTGATAGCTCATTTTTGAAGTTATCATGATTTTGTTTTAGCGATTTGGAATTTGACGCTGGAAGATTGCACTAGCAATGGACAAGGTTATTATGGCCCTTCTGACATGAACAGATGTCGTAACAAGGTACGCTCGCATATCGTTCTTTAACTTCGGAAAGAAAACTGGCATGTGTTCTACTGGGTTTCGAGGGTCAGCGACGTTTTCGTCGTTTTCGGTCTCGACGTCTGGAATACATGTACTTCCTACATTTTCTTTGGTGCTCTTGGGAAAGCATAGGAAGATGACAAAGGCTTGTGGTGGGAGCGTGTTTTGCGCGTTCGCCCAATTAGTGTCTGTCACGGCACGGACTGTTCGGCAGAAAGGTTTTCTCCTTCCTTTGTGTTGCCACTCAGTTGTAGGGTATTCCGTCTGGATTAGGTTCATTGAAGGGAACGCTTAGAGCTAACAACGTTACTTGTATCATTATGATTTTGGACTTAAAGCAAGTTTTTACTTGCCTAACATCACAAAATTGGTAGCGTTGTTTTGGCCACAGTGTGTGCCCAACTTTTAGTCAAGGATTCTCGTTAAAGTCTTTTTTACCTCGTAGAACCTGAAGGGGGGGGGGGGGGGTGCAAAGTACAGTAAATATATGTTCTATCATCAGAGCAGCAGTCGACAGAGCTCGAAACATTTGTGGTCTCTTGAAATTCCAAATGCCATTTCCTGTTTTCGCACTTGGCATTCCACTATTTCAGAAAAATTAGTTTGGGTTCTTATGACCGACAAAAACTTTTATTCCTTCTGAGCTCCTTCAACTCTATACGAGTTATTTACATCCAAGTAAGGAAAGGGAGCATGTAAAACACCGATTTTCATTAAATTAGAGATCTGTAAAACGCGGTATGATGTGATAATGAGAGTGCAATGACAGTGGGACACATTGAGTGAATCGGCATTGACCAAAATTGACATGGATCAAGACTCGCTTGATAAGCAAAATCTTCGCGTGACTGTTTTCACGAAAAAGGGCCATTTTGGTTGAATGGTCAGATTTCTAACGGTTTTCACGCCACTAAACTGAGAGGGATTTGGCCTGGTTCACCAAGAGGCTTGATCATTTGTTCAACCGTTGCTTTTCACCGCACATCGCAATGGGAAGGTCATCACAAGGATGCTGAATTATGGACGAAATTCGGCCATGGACGAAGGCGCTTATGCTTTTTCGAACACTTTTATCCCTCCACGAGACTCCTCTTGCCCACAGCTCCTTTACGTATTACGCTACAGCTTATCTTCATTCGACATAGAATTTGCTGAGACAGTTAGCCTTACCTGCGCTAAACCGAGAAGTAGCAGATTTTTTGGTACTACTTGACTTGACTAACTGAAAGCAAAAGTACGGGTTTGAGTCCCACCCACGGGCGAGGTTTCGTCCATAACTCAGCACCGCTGTCGTCCGAGGAATTTCCGTGGTGCTTTGAATGTAGTTGCTGTTCGTAGTAAGGATTCTCGTCCATTTCAGGTGTTTATAAGCTACGTTCGAATACTTCTTGATCTCGGCGTGGCAATCAACAGACTCACACTCCTAGATAGGAGAAAGATTTCTCCGTACATGATGATAATGTCGCTTAATAAGCGCCGTTCTCTCTATATGTATCCTGATTTCAAGGTTTGTCATCCGTTCAGAATTAATGTCTCTAAGTCCATTACCAGAGTATTTGAATTTTTATGTAATAATTAGATTTTCCTAATGATTTACAGCGTTGCCGGGAATTGTTCGTTTGCTACGATATTGGTTTGGTTGCTCCTCTCTTCGCTCATGAGAATGATAGATTCCTAACATTGCGAATATTCGAAGTTGACGAATCACATGTTCTTTACAAAAGCGATTTGCTCGAATACCTGAGCACTGCACCAAGTATGTTTTCTTCTCACAAGAATGATAATGTTTACTTTTCGTAAACCATGTATTCTATGAGCAAGCCCTTCCTTAGCGATTACGAGAGCGCTGCGGACATCATCTGATCGTTCGAGGCGTTCGATTTTCACTTTATTATAGAAGATAAAGTATTGGCGCATTAATCAATCCCGTGAGAGGGATGCGCCCCGCTTTAAACTTTCACTCAGAATCGTAGTGGCGTATTGAATGCGTATATGACGATACAATGACTTTATTTATCCAATAAGTTCTTCGAAGTCAGTGAACGATCTTTTTTCGTATATGTTGAATGGGATGCATAGGCTATTTTCCAGTGTTTCTTTTTCCGGAGATGCAAAACCCCTGAGTCCGGCACCATCACCTCCCACATGCGTCAGAGAGATGAGACTTCAGAAAGACCCTGAGAAAAATGATGCAAATTGCTGGAATTTCCTTGACTTTCCCTAGATTGTCACGATAAAAGATATCCGGGTCAGCTTAATGAAAAATTGATACCTCCACTCGAGTTTTAGATGGGAAACAAAAATCCCAGAAACTTTAAAATTCATTTTATGGAAACAGTAGTTGTACGGTGATGTGCTGACTCTTCAAAAAAAAAATTCTGTGGGAATCAGCGATTACTGTGAACAAATATTCATTTATTTTATCTTTAATGGCCAACACCTTCATCAAGTCCGAGGTTAGATGAAATGAGTTTTTGATGCAAACTTCCTCATTAGCAGTTCAGGAGAATATTGCATACCATTGACACTTTGCCATAGGGTACCTGGACATAGGGTACTTGTCGAAGCTTGGCATCCGTCTCTCTGGAGTAGTATCGAGAAGGAATGTGGGCTTAGCGCAGTGTGAGGCCAGTTTCATGTTTCTCAATTCCATCGAATTGTGGAAACGCCTCAGTACAGTGATTCTGTGGCATCGAAATCGTCCTGTTGAATAGGACCAAAAAGTCTGAGTGAAATCTTGTTGAGCTCCATCGCTTGGAATACTTGCCTATAGAGCCAGCTGTGAGCCATACTTGGGAGGCTGCACTCTCGCCCATCGTTCCTAACCACAAGTTATGGTGCGGAATAGAGCAAAGGTGGCAGAGAAAGCGCGAAAATCGGCGACTCCAGGAATATAAGGCTTCAAGGGTACTTGGACGAGTTGTCAGTTGGTTTAATTACTTAAATAGCTGGCTATAATAGGTCAAAAATGCCGAGTATTGCTTTCCACTGGGGGCGTTCATAGTACCTGCTTCAGGGTGCTGACGTCGCTCAGCTTCAGTTTATTATGGTTCCTCGTTGTTGATGTGTCTCTTACTTTTGACTCTCATCGGCTCAGCCTTTGTTTCTGATCTCTCGGCTCCTCAGCTTTAATTCTTACTAGCTTTCTCTTTCCAACGTCGGCCTTTTTCATAACGCCCCTCTCACCGTTAGTGGAGTGCGCTTAGCTTTCATAGACCTCACCAATTTTGCTCATATCTCACATCCAACATGAATCGGGGGCTCCAAGTCACACTCGGTATGGTGAGAAATGGTGAGAAAGCATTAGGAATTTCTAAATAAGCAAACAAACAGAAAAACAAACAATTTTCCACTTTTAGTATTAATATAGAGTAAGGATCAAGCGAGTGTATGCCTTCATGCAACATTCCAAAGAAAAAATGCTGAAAGATTACGAGTGTCTTGCTGAAGTCATTCCATTGAAAGCCGGGTGCGCTTCAAAAAAGTGCTCACGTAAAATTTCTACTTGGGTTCGATTCATTGTATTTTTCGAAGTTTTTTTTTTATTTTTTGGAAATAATATTGAATTAAATAGGACTTTTCAAGATGATGTTTCAGATTTGAGCGAGATACGTGTTGTTGTGCCGTCGACATGGGCAAAGAGGGTCAGCTCTTGCAAAAGAGGATGTTTCACGAGCCCCGATTTCGCTTGTTTCAGGTTAGTAGTCATTTCTTCGTTGTTGAGCAAAAACGATTTCTGGCCATCGAGATTGTTGTGTACTTTTTCCTAACGAATCGAAGAACTCGAATATTTTTGCTCGAGTCTTTTGTCGATAGCTCGGCGGCCCCCTTTCTCCACATAAAGTTCTAGCCATGGGTAACTTTGCTCTGCTCACAATACTTCGAAGTTCTCGTTTTCGCATGCATGTTTTGGATGGCGTGTTGGCCCTATTGTGTGATATAATCGGTGGAACGTTTTCGTAATCATTCTTTCGATCAACAGCGGTCTTTATTTGCCTCTTCCCCAATAGGAAAGTGGACTTTTGATTTTTGCCTACCTATTTTAGAATTATTTCTTTGTTGTGGTAGTTGATCAAAATCCATCCGTCATTTAGGGTATTATTTTTACTTTTGCAGACCAGATGGGTGGTGCGGAGTGCAAACGAGATTGCCTACAACCAAATTTGCCTTGGTCGGTTCAGATGACGAATCTATTGATGGTAATCACGAGAATAGTCGCACACAATTGCCGTCCGCTTGAAGCCGGAACGAACCTCCCAGGGAGTCTATCAGCTATTTACATGTACATATAGTTGTTGTTTGTTAGCACCTGCTGGTAGATGCTTTTGTGCCTGGGCGACTCATATACTCGTTCCATCGGCCGTCTAGACCAGGCCGTTTAATGAGCGTAGCCGGTCCTTCGATCTGGTTTCATTTCATTCACCACCATCTCTACACGATTCATCACAGCACGTATATGCGGCGCAATTACCTTTAAATCGTTGCTGTTTAGCGCTTAATCTCAATTGAAATCTTCTCATTTTAATATAATCGAATGAATAATCTCTGTACATAATGCACATATTTTGTACAAATACCACTGCCTCAGGTTTTAGCTCAATTACTGCTTTCTATGCACCTTTTTTTTTTCGTAGAAAGAAATCTCACTTACAGCCTAATTGCACTACTTCATTCGTAAGTTCATTGCCTATTTTCTCTATGTTGAAATATGTAATTAAGCTATGAATACGGTACATTATCTTGTCCCTATAGCTAAATGCTTCTATTCTTGTATTGATTTTGACGACTGCTTTAGAAAAATGTGCCTCAGTCTATCATTTCATTTGTATTCTTAACAGAATCTTATTAACAAAATTAATTTTAAACAGTAATTTCATATGTTGTTACTCACTTTGCCAAAATAAACTGTCCGGTGTTTTTTCTTTGAAGATCGCATGGTAAAGAACCAAATTATTGCGGAACTGGTCCGTTGAGTACAACTGTGGAAGGAGGATACGGAGAGGATGACTAGTCCTGTAGGAGAGGGCCGCTTTTTCTAGACTGTGACAGGGGTTAGGTCCGAGGAATGGTGTTTCGGGTAAAGGAAGAGGAATGCTCTCAAAACATCGGATCCTTTGGTCTAAGGGGAACGGGTATGAAAAACCTATTGTAATGGATGGATGATTGACTATGGCCAGGATAGTCTGAGCTCCCATTACTACTAGGAATGTATGCTGTAGAGGAAGCAATTTCAGACGAAAGCAGACTGTGCTTATCTGACGCTTGAGGGATTGCCGGGTAACCTGGTGTTCTAAGGAGTCTTCCTGGGGATCATGCTACTGAAGATCCCTTTTGCACTCCAGGCTGGTCGTTTCCATTACATTAATGCTATATTTAAAAGAAAGAATATCATAATCTAGCAGCAGCATATGGTCTCAAAGAGGTGAGGGGACCAACCGATCTGCACGTTACGAAGCTTTAAAAGTGTCTAGGCAGCAAGTCCTAGCTATCTATGCGCCCGAAAACGAGCCTATCCGTCGATGGGATCGATGACAGCATAATGCTTAAGATGTTTTGTAGACAATACCGATTATAATCTAATCGTAGTTGGCGTAATGAATGCGTATGTGGCTTATACAAAGACTTGCGATTACCAGCCGATGTACAGGTCAATGCTTTTATCCTCCCGAACGAGTCTAGAACCAACTGACCGACTCAAAGGGGATAGAAGGCTTGGTTTACGTGGGCAGATATCGTTTCGGACCAGTCGTGTATGGTCGTGCCCACTTGCCATTACAACACCTCCGATCATAAGGCGAAACTCACGTACACACGAAAGACTTCACGTCAGAGCCACGTTCTTTCATGATGTCACATTTTCGCCCAATATAGATCGTAATCCTCACGTATGCCTTTTTTTCCGAATTCGGACTCCTTTTTTGAAAGTATAGTCTTCTGGCTTTGGTCATTCCCGTCAAAGGGATACGCCCAGCTTTCGACTTCCCTTCAGATTCGCAGTGGCGTATTGAATGCATATCGGCTTATACAATGACTTGCGGTGGCCAGTCGATCTACAAGTCCTCCCTTTCATCTTCCCAGGCGGGTTGGCACCAGTTAACAGTCCCCGGAGGCATGGAAGGCTTAGTTGGCCAAGGTGGTTAGCTATCAGGAATTCGAACCCGTGACCATGTGCGTGTTGTAGTGCGCCTCTTGCCACTGAACCCTAACCCTTTCTTACAATCGAGAAATTGTTATACAACAATCCCGTATTTGAGTTTAAGGCCGAAGAATCATGCGGAATTCTTGTTATCTGTTCTTACGGTGATTCAGCTGTGGGTCCTGATTCGAGTGGCCCCTGGCCCTGTCTGTCCTAAACACCGTTCAATTCTTACCCAAGTTCCCCTTCCGTGCGTCGTATATGTGAGGGGTTGAAGATTTGTGCATTTAACTATTATTATACTGTGTGATGAAGTATGTTGTCTGTGAGATTCTGCGGGCATTGCATTTTATTTCACCCTAAGGGCACTGTAGGAACAGAGTTCCAGTATTGAACTCTCCTTCCTGTCTGCTTAGAGCCACTCAAAAACAATTGTACTGAAGCAAATTAAATGATCACCAGCACTTTGCTCAACCACTCTGTTTTTGCCGTTTGTGGGGAACATTCTGGCAGTATCCCGTAGGGCAAATGTTCTTTGCGTACATGTTGTCGGCCGGCAGCCATACGAGGGTCTCCCCCGGGCCTGACGTCAATGTTTTCGACAGCGCCTTACGCAGTCCACCAAAGTACGCACGAACTCGTGATGGAAACGGCCGGGGTCCCCATTTTCTCCCCCATTCACTTCTCCAATACCCCATTTTTGCCGTTTCGATCGCAATAATGCCTCCTAACTCCAGTTTTGCTTATTTTTACTCAGAAATGGAATTTTATATCTCTCAACTATTCATCACATCGTCACAAAACTGATCTGCAAAACTCGTTCCTCTAGATACGTTGCAGACGACGACAATGCCGAAAATTAGGCGAAAGTCACGTATACTCAAAAGAATTCTCCCGAAAAACCTTACTGTTCCCAATTGTCACGTTTTCGCCCATACGTTTTTTCGCTTCGAGACCGTTCTCAGTTACTGGGTTTCTCACGTAGGCTCTTTTTTCATGGAATTATGGCATATTTATTAGATCTTAAACTTTGTGACTAATTGACTTGTTATTTTAAGCGAGGACAAGAAGTTCCACAACGGACACTCAGTTCCTACAGTGAACTTGTCGTGAAATAAAATGTAACAGATACAGAGAAATGCCACGGACAACATGTTAGATTTTACGGCATCATTTTTTTTTCAACACACAAAACATCCCTCACTCAAATAGTCGAACTAGGACCCACTGTAGAATTATCGAAGGAGCTGAATGTCAGTCTCAATTCCTTGTTTTTGTAAGTGGTCGTTGCCGAAATACAGCGAGATCTACTCCAGCTACCTCTCGCTCGTATGAAATGAGCCCAGCCCCTCGACCGTCCCAAACAGCATCGATTTGCGAAGTCAAAGGCCCTGTTCCAGCTGAAATGGTAAATGATTAGTCAGCACACGAATGAATAGAAGTCTTATTGCTGAACAGAGCGCTCAAGACGGAAAAGAACACATCAAAAAGCGATCTTCTTTGTACCTGTTGATTTTACTCGTTGTGAACACAAAGTTATTAGTTTTGTCCTCCTGCGCTCCCTGCTTAAACAGGACTTTCATTGGTATCGACGGAACATTTTTAGGGCAGTTCGAAATAACTGAGGTACAATCGTTAAAAGGCAATTGTGCCCCATTTCTAAAGTCTTGCTCCCTCCCCCCACCCAATTAGACAGCGCTGAGCACTTTCTCGAGGAGAGGGCGCACGCGAGCAGAGCAGCGGCCTCGGAATCCTACCTAACACGTCTTTTTGTGGGAGTTTTTACCTAGTTTCGATACATCAATGCATGATTTCTAGACGGTTTTCCTATATGGAAGTTCTTCTAATCGACCCCTAGGGTGGTAAGGTTTCTTCCTATCGCGAAACCCAAACTCAGAAAAATCCTTCGCCGTGGTGAACCGCTCCAAATGTATGTTAGTATTCGCTCCATTTTATGTCACTGGTGTAGGTTTCAGGCAAATGCTGCCGCATAGAAGTCTGTGATCCCATAAAGTACATAACAAGTAAAAAAACGCCTTTCGTCTCGGTGACTCCTGAATGGAGGCCGGAAAAGCGGCACTTACACGATGGCAGCCCACTTGATCCTTTCCAGGTCTATTCAATATGGAACCAACGTGTTTCGTTTGATGGTGGTTTTTTTCTGGGTTCCCAGTTGATGGATAGACAGGTAAAGGAAACGTTCTGTGATCCCCAACTACATTTAATGGTCGTTCGTTCCGTGGTTAGCTTGACATCAAGTGGTTCTACTTCGGCTCTGTTTTATATTTCTGTTTATCTCTCTAGTCAACCATGTTAGCTTGATCACTGGGAAAGTGATCGTGCCCACATACATAAGTCAAAGTGATTAAACTTGGAACTGAAAGGAGCCCAATATCACGTTCCAAGGTGTTGGGAATCTAGGTCCAGGTTTCCTGCTGAAGGAGAATGAACTTAAAGGGCACTCTTCACGATAATTTTGGGTTATTTAGTCTCAGATAAGTAATGGAAGTGATAGTCCACAGCAGTGCAAAAAAGGCTAAGAAAACGTGAAAATCGGCGTATTTAGAGAATATTAGGCTCCAAAAAGAAGTAAAACTATGGGTTGGACGAGAATACTACGAAAAAAGCTGCACGGAAGGGTTTTTGGACGAGCTGTTCGAATGCGCGTGCCATTTCGTACAGCTAGCTGCGATACGCAGCATGCGTGAAAGGTGTGGGTCACGATAAGTACGGTGCATCCTCTGCTGCTTTTACAATGCTCAAGGCTACTCGTCCGCTTTGGGTGTGTTGGTCGGCTAAGCCGGTTTGGAGGAATTTCCTCATTGCGCTCTCTCTTGACTGTTTTTCGACCCGACAGCGTCCCGTAAGCTTCGTCCCTAGGTTGATTTCAGGGAGAAATCTCAAAGGCATTTTTCATTTTTAACTTGTGCCTTTGATGAACCGTAAAAAATCGTAGATAGAGCTCGATTTTTCTGTTTGTTGAAACCTCCTACACGGCAGGCGGTTATGTAGGGGGAATTGGGCATTTCGACAGATCGATTGGCATCGCTTTATGATGAGCGGTATGATCTGTTTTTTCGTAGAAGTCAATTTCACTGCTAGAA